TCACCTTTCTTTGGAATGGGAACAAATGCCGATCTCTTCCAGTCAGTGGGCCAGCTGGCTGTCCTCCAGATTTCCTGACACAACTTAGTGAGCACATCCAGGGCAGTGTCTGTTTATGGAAATAAATCAATATGGTATGCTGTCAATTGGTTGAGAGGAAGGTTCACATGGCCTTTAAAGAGAAGATGTCTGACTTACTGCTGTGTGATGTCATTTTATTTGGCAACTTTCTCCAGATTCATGAGCCATATATTGAGGATGGGCATGTGGAAAATTGTAAGTGTCCCTTTCAGCCCAGGGATGACTCTGGCCACAGCTTGGGCAGCACTAGTAGATGCAGGAATACTATTCAGGGCAACTCTTTCATCATCACGCCACAGCATTCCAGAGGGCCCATCCACAGTCTTCTGGCTGGTATTGGTGGCATGGACTGTGCTCATGAGTCCCTCTGCGATGCCAGAGTTGTTATGAATGACCTTCGATAGGTGGGTCAAGTATTTGGTGGTGCAGAAGGCATTGCTGACAATCTTGAGAAATCTGTCATACTTTTCATTGTTAATGCCTGCCAAAAACATGCAATCATCAGAAAAAGGAGCTGATTGGAGAAAGAAAGCCCCAGGTTTTTCCAAAGTTATGAAGGCACCTGTGGACCATCAACATACTCAGCACCAGTATCACCCTACTTGATGCAGAATCTCACTCCTAAAAGATTGTGATCGCTTTCCCATTGAGGACAAGCGGTCCATTTTCAGTCTTGACAGTGCCATTGAACTTGTCATGGGTGGAATCATACTGGAATATACAGACCACGTAGTTGAGGGCAATGAAGGGTCATTGATGGCAAGAACATCAACTTTGCCAGAGTTACAAGCACCCAATGTGGTCAAATGCAAACATTCCAACCTTCACCATCATGTCTCAGGGATGTTGTGGATGAGGCTGGGTAAGAAGAGAGGCCTGTCTGTCAATTGATGAAAAACAGAGAACCCATAGAAAAGGTCGTGAAGTGAAAGGATCAGAGGAGTAATGCTGTGGACTTCTCCTGTTTTTCAATCAACCTTTTCTTATATTATTAAAGAAAATACTTTCTTTCACTGATATTCAAGGCCCATACAATCATGGTGGAGAGAATGAAGTGAATTGGAAATTGTTCATGATTCCAAAGCTTAATATCTATAGAACCTACATTAAAATGGGTGGCTTTAGGACATTTATACGATTAGTTGTAAAATTAAGTATAGGACATTGTTGTCAAGTGCTGTCAAACTCCCATTCATAAAGACTTCATGCACATGAGAGTCTAACACCATGCACACAGTCATTGCTCTTGAATCCTTCATTGTATCCACTATGTCGACCTTGTTAAGGATCTTTTTCACTGACTTAACTTTGTCAAGCATGATGTCTTCTAGCACATCTCTCCTGATAACTTGCCTGTAATATGTAGGAAGCCTGTCTTTGTTTATAAGGAACATTCTAGCTGTAAATAATAATATATACACTTCTAGTGACTTGGTGTATAAATGAATCAGATTATTACTAAAGGATGAAAGCAAAGTTCACAATCCTAGTCTTCAAGGAGCAACTTGGTTTCGCCCTCTCTAGAATAGACCTGTTTGTTCTCTTGGCAGTTCATTTTCCAGCATCACAACTCAAAGACATTGATTCCTCTTCCATTATCCTTAGCCTTGTCCAGTTCTCACATGCATAGCAAGTAATTGAGAGGATGATGGCTTGGATTGGGTGCACCTTATAGACTGATATCATTGCTCTTTAACACTCTGGAGGAGGCTTTGCAAAAGTCACTCGTCTTTTTATATCCTGATTGCTGGTAACAAGAGAGTATTGATTAGCATTCAATATTTTCAACCTATCTTTGAGATAGTTCCTAAATTTAGATAGAATGTACTCAAAATATTTTGACCCTGGTAGATTGAGTTTCCTCTTCTTCCACTTAACTTTGAATTTATAATTTAGAAATTGTCTGCAATCAACCTAAAGTTCAAACTCTAAAAACAAGCTCACTGGCATTTCAGAATCAACTCATAGTTGAGCCTTGAGCTGGTTTTCAGAGAGATTCCTCGTCTTTCTCCCATGGAGCAGATCGTGGATTCAAACTGTGTGCCTTTGGATTAGCAGTGTAGCTCCTCACAATTTGACAATCTGAGAACTCCTACTCACTAGTCCATATTGAGAATGAGGAACCAGGTGGGGGGGGAGGGTGGAAGCAGAGGGGTGAGGATGGGCAGGGGAACTAATCATAGGGTCATGCAATTTGATGGGTGGGTGGGTTGAAGGAAATGGGAAAGATCTGGTGTGAAAAACAATGTATTCAAACTTTGTAAATAAACCAATATAAAAGGATAAAAAAAAATGATGTTATAGAAATATTTATGGTGAAATAATCTGTTCAAAATTTTAAAAAAGCACACAAAATAACCCTTTTATTCAAGTAAGGAATAAATAAAAACATCTAACAATGAAAGAAAAGAAGGTGAGATTTGTATACTCATTCCAGTCCCAGGCTGTAGTGATGTCCTTTAGGGAGGAAGAAGTAAGTGAGCAGGTGGAAATAGGTCCCAAATGTTCTTCCTGCTAACGATCCCTCAAAACTGAAGGAAGTAGCAGAATGCTTCCACTTTTGCCTTTCATAATAATGATTTCTTGCCTTTTCCTTTTTTCTCTACAGTTATTCAGTTTGGATTTGTTACATTATTTGTGGCCTCTTTTCCTCTGGCTCCTCTTTTAGCTCTTTTGAATAATATTATAGAGATCCGAGTTGATGCTTGGAAGCTTACGACTCAGTACAGGAGGCCAGTAGCTGCTAAAGCTCATAGCATAGGAGTCTGGCAAGACATTCTCTTCGGAATGGCGGTCCTTTCGGTTGCAACTAATGTAAGTAGACCTAATTCAGTGTGGTGGCTTTTTGTTTCCTTGAGAATGGAAAGATGTAAACGGTGCGCACCTCAGTCTTTATTACATTGGTCTCATCATAGTGACAGTCCATAAAGAAATAGGAGAAACATTTGTAAAACCTTTCTCACTGAGATTTAATAACACATGTTCCATAGTATGTGACTAAGTAGACAGAAGATAAGTACTGACATGAAGGATTTGAATAATGTACATTTATTGTATATAAATAAATGTTATATATTGCAGATAAAATATAGATTTACCTTTTCTCTTTATGGAACATTTATGTCAGAATAATAAACAGATTTCTCAGAAGAAGAGATTATATAGTGTACATTCAGTAAAAGGAAAAAAATTAAATTAAATTGGATAATACTATAAGAATAAAATTTAAACATAGTCATTTTTCTATGTAAGCTCTAAATACAGAGGAAGCTATATGGAATTTTATTCTTTTATATCATTAAGTTGTTCTAACTTATAGTGATCCAATAGTCAGAGTACAGGTATCTCGTAGGATTTCCTAGGCTGTAATTTTTTCAGAAGCAGATTGCCAGATTTTTCCACTGTGGAGCTGCTGGTATGCTTAAATTGCCAACTTTTCTACTGACAGCAGAGCACTTTAACCACTGTACTACCAGGACTTCTTAGATGTTGTTGTTGTTGTTGTTGTTATGTGCCATCAAATTGCCGGCAACTCATAGTGACTCTGTGTACAACAGCTCTGAATCCTTTCCTATCGTGAGCCAGTCTCACTGACTCAACACATTACCCCCATTACTCCAGTTACTGGTCAGTCCATTTCATCTGGGGTCTTCTTCTCCTGTGCTGTCCCTCCATCCTTCTGAACTTGATGTCCTTTTCCAAGGACTGGACCCTCCCGGCTACATGCGTCTCCAAGACAGACCAGTTTGTTCTTTTGGTGTCTGTAGTATGTTCAGTACTCGTTTCCAGCATCACAACTCAAAGACATCAATTCTTCTGCTGTCACCCTTAGTCATTGTCCAGATCGCTGATGCACAGCAAGTAATTGTGAAGATCACAGTCTGGATCAGGCCCACCTTAGTCTCTAGATTAACATTGTTGCTCCTCAGTGCTCTGGAAAGGTCCCTGACAGCGGATTTTTCCAATTCAATTTATCTTTTGATTTCTCAACTCCTGATGTCAAGAGTGTTGATTGTGGATTTGAGCAAGCTGAAATTCTTAGCAACTTCAATCCCTTCTCCTTCTATCATGGTGCTACCAGTTGGCCCAGTTGTGAAAATCTTTGTCTTCTTGATGCTGAGCTTCAGTCCATAGTGAAGACTACAGTCCTTAACCTTCTGCAGCAAGATCTTCAGTTCCTCCTAAGTTTCAGCAAACTAGGTTTTGTTATCTGCATATCACAGATTGTTGATGAATTTTTCTAAAATCCTGATCCCACATTCCTCCTCATAAAGCCAGCCTCTTAGATTATAACATAAGATTAATTAAAATGAGCAATTATATAAATCAGTTAAAAACACAGTAACAAAAATTCCATTATTACAAAAGAAGACTGGAAAACATGAACTGAACATGTAACTGAAGAAACTAAGGAAGAATTGACAAAAAATATGCTGAAATACCAAATTTGGAAATAAAATTGGTGGCAACTCAAGAGTTGGTTCGTGGAGAATAGAAATAACCTCAGCACCTAGGCAAAACTCTGGCAATCTGAAACAAGGCAAAAAAGAAGTACAGAGTATTCTTTCTCTCTCTCTCACCATCAAGTTGAAATTCACTTATAACTGACCCTCCAGTGAGTTTTCAGGGGCACTCAGTCACACAGGGAAAAGCTGTTCCATCTTTCTCCTGGTGAACAACCAGTGAATTTAAACTGCCCACCTATAGGTTGGCAGGACAACTCTCTAACCACTAAGCCATTAGAATTCCATAGTTAGATTAAAATAAAAAAAAATATAAGGAACTGTTTTTTACTCATTTATTTCAAGAAATTTAAAAACTTTTTGAAATGCTTATTTATTAAGAAAACAAAATTGGCCAAAATGGTTTCAATAAATGTTAGAAAACTTGAGTAGAGTAGCCATCAAAATAATATTGGAGGTAATAAACAGACTATCACCAGACATATAGATTCTTATGATTTAGAAGGAATGTATTTAACTGAAATAAACATTTTATCTGTACTAGTTCAAAATGTCAGAAATTATGTGTGTATCTGATTCCTGTGAGTTTAAATACTGAAATCAATGGCACTGAAGTATAAGAAACTTGCAGAACATGATTCTTCCTCACTCTAGTCTTTCTTCCCAGCTGCCTACATACACACACCGTCACGAACCCAAGTACACAGAGTTAGTCCTAACAAATGAATTTGTTTAAAGATAATAGAACTCTGTTACGAAACAATAAATAATAAGGCAATCAGAAAAACATGATTCATAAAGAGAGATGCCTTTAGGTTCCGTTCTCAATTGAGCCACATTCTAGCTATAGAATATTGGGAGAAGGGACCAGTGCTTGGAAAATGACATCATGCTCGGGAGGGTGGAGTGGCAGCGCAAGAGAGGAAGACCTGGATGAGATGTGTTGACTCAGTGACTGAGGTAAGGGGCCTGGGTGTGTCAGAGATGATGAGGTTAGCTCAGGATAGAGCAGGGTTCAAAGCTGTTTTACATACAACAACAATATTCAAACCTCAAGTTGCAATACTGAGAGATGCTATGGGCAAAATCTTAAATGATCCAAGAATCATCAAAAGATGGAGGGCTACTCAGAATGATTGTACCAAAAAGAATTGGCTGACACTAAAATAATTCAGGAAATAGCATATTATCAAGAGCCAATGGTAATGAAGGAAGAGGTTTAAGCTGCACTGAAAGTACTGGAAAAAAATAAGGCCCTAGGAATTGATAGGATACCAATTGACATGTTTCAACAAATAGGTGCAGCTCTGGACACTCCAGTTTATGCCGTGAAATTTAGAGGACAGCTGCTCGGATAGCTGAATGGAACAAATCCATATTTGTTTCCATTCCCAAGAAAGGTGATCCAATAGAATGTGGAAACTATCAAACAATATAATCAATAACTGCAAAAGGGTGACTGAGTCTGACTTCTCCCTCCTCTATGAAGGATAACCTTCCTTATCAGTAATATCCATTGTTGTTGATTGCCATCGAATCAAGCACAACTAATAGTATTCCTAAGAACAAAAGGCCTGAAACCTTTCTATAGCTATCAACATCAAGGTTCATAGAGTTTCCAGAGGCATATTGTTTAAGAAGTGGATACCCCTACGTGGTCAAACATGCCACGCCACATGCTCCTACTCTTATTTCTACCAGTCATTGGATCTGACATTTGTTGTAACTTAAGTCACAGACTTAACTTACAGTTATGGAGCTTATTGGGAAAAATAGTTTGGGGAGTTGGAGAGACAAAGAATATCACCAGTACAAGTCCAGATTTAGTCCAACAGTCCCAAGCCAGATTAACAAGACATAATTCTTCATCTAGTGAAAGTCCAGGTTCACTTCTACAGCTTAAATGCAAGAAGCCTTTGGTTTCCTCAATTATCGAGCAACTTTATTTCATCTGAGAACAGTTACAAATCAGTCTTTCATTCAGTTATCCAGCATACAAAATATTTAACAGTGGCTCCATCTCCAAGGTTCCTCTGGTTGTATCTTGCCACTGTTACTTCACAGCAGTGTCATTCTCTTCACCCTCTCTCTACCACCATAATTCACAGTGTTTTCACAATCCCTCCATCACTCTTTCACAGTGGAAAGCATTATCTTATATTGGTCCCACAGCTGTTAATGATTTGCAAGACCATATATCCACAGTTAAGTTAGGTGTAGACTCCCAATGGCTAGAAAAGGTGATTTTCAAGGGTCCTGAAACCTCAATAACACAGGTAAGCAAATATTTCTGGAGATCATCCAACAATAGCTAGAACAGCATATAGACAGAGAACTAACAGAAAGAAGTTCAAGCTGAGTTTAGAAGAGGTCATGGCACCAGGAATATCATTACTAATGTTAATTGTATCCTGGCTGAAAGTAAAGAATACCAGAAGAATGCCTGTATTTTACTGTCTATACAAAGATATTTGACTGTGTGAATCATAAGAAATAATGGCTAACAGAGAGAAAAATGGGAATCCCATAGCTCTTGATTGTGCACTAAACATAGACCATGTGTTTGTTATGCAAACAGAGCAAGGGAACACTTTTTGTTGTTATGTGATGTTGAGTCACTTGCGTCTCATAGTGACCCCATGTACAATAGTCCTGAAAGCTTCTCTATCCTGTGCCAACCTTATTGGTTCTGACGCACCTACCCTCATTACCCCAGTCACTGAATCAATCCATCTCATTAAGGTCTTCCTCTCTCGCACTGTCTCTCCTTGCTTCCAAGCATGATGTCCCTCTCCAAGGATTTTTCTATCCTTGCAACATGCCTAAAGTATGTCAGATGAAGTCTCAAAATCCTTGTCTTCAAGGAGCATCCTGGTTTCACCCTTTCTCAGATGAACCTGTTTGTTCTCCTGGCAATCCATGGTATTCAGTACTCTCCTCCAGCATCACAGCTCAAAGGCACCAATTCTTTTTCTATTATCCCTAGTCATTGTCCAGCTTTCCTATACATAGTAAGTAATTGCAGACTGTGGCCTGGATCAGATGCACCTTAGTCTTCAGACAGACATCATTGCCCTTCAGTACTCTGGAAGGATCCCTGACAACAGCCTTTCTTTAGTGAAATTGATCTTTTGTATTCTGGCTGCTGATACCAAGAGAAGAGTGTCGATTATGGAGCCAAGCAAACTAAAGCTGTTAACAGTCTCAGTCTGTTTACCATCTGTCATGATGCTGCGAATCAGCCCAGTGATGAGAATTTTTTGTGTGTGTGTGTTGAGCTTTAATCCATATTGAAGGCTACAGTCCTTGACCTTCTGCAGCAAGTGCTTCAAGTCCTCCTCAGTTTCAGCAAGCAGGGTTGTGTCATCTGCATAACACAGGATGTTGATGAGTCTTCCTCCAATCTTGATGCCACATTCCTCCTCGTACAGCCCAGCATCTCAGATGATCTGTTCTACATATAGATAGAAAAGGTATGGAGATAGGACAAAATGATGTAAGTTTGAAGGCTAAGGTGCAACTGATTCAGACCATGATCTTTTCAGTCACTTACTATGCATCTAAGAGCTGGATAGTGAATAAGGATGGTATAAGTATTATTTATGCTTTTGCATTGTGATGTTAATCAAGATTGCTGAATATCCCAAGAACTTCCAAAAGAACAAACTGATGTGTCTTTGGAAAGGTGCAACCAGATGTCAAAGGAGGCAAAGATGTCAAAGCTTTGTTTCACAAGTTTTTAGTATATTGCTAGGAGAGGCTATTTTTTGGAGAGCGACATCGTATTTGAAATGATAGTCTGTGAAAGTGTAGACGACCCTCAGCCAGGTGGATAGATGCAATGACCATAGTTATGGACTCAAGTATGTCAGAAATGATGAGGAAGGCATCGGATATGACAGGGTTCCTATCTGTTGTTCATAGGGTTGCTATGAGTCATACTCTACTCAACAACACCAACAACAGTCATGTACTGTAGGGAGCTCTAATGACTTAGTGGTAAGGAATTGCACTACCAACCCAAAGGAACATGGTGTGGTTCCACCAGCTGCTCCACAGGGGCAAGATGGTCAGTCAACTCCTGTGCAGTTTACTGCTGATGATAACGTGCTAGAGGCTCGGACTGAGCCATTCCCACTCTGTGGCACAGAACAACAACTTCAGTTGTACACTGTAATTGAGGTGTCTTGTGAAGCAAGGACTTGTATATTAACGTGGTTACTAAAAGGGCTTTCATGGTTTTAAACATCATATAGCTCATGAATCTGAAATATGTGAAAGCACTGTATGCTTATGTTTAAAATTGGATTAACATCTTCTGTTCTCCATTGTCCACTTTATCTTTTAGGCCTTCATTGTTGCCTTCACATCAGATATCATTCCTCGTTTAGTTTACTTCTATGCCTATTCAACCGATACCGCGGAGCCTTTGCAGGGTTACATCAATAACAGCCTGTCCGTGTTCCTCATCGCTGATTTTAGCAACCGCTCTGCACCCGCGGAGAAGCGAGGCTTCCTCACCTGCAGGTTTCCTTTCATTTGTTGACATTTTACCCTTTCAATATATTCTTATCTTCCCATATCCCTGCATACGTCTCTTAACGTGTAAGATTTATGTGGAGTCATAAAAATCCTAACTAAATAAAGTGTATAAATTCAGAATTCACACACTGTGTGATTCTGATGTAGAACAGTAAAAAATACTCAAAAGTAGGAGCACTTTTTGAGTGAAAGGAAGTCAGTTTTCTAATTTTTTTATAATCTACATTGATTAAAAAATAATATTTGCCAGCTAATGTCCTTTCGTCTCAAGATTTAATGAATAGAGTGTGTATAGGATAGTCATGTTATGTGCATTTAACAATGTTCTAATCATATCTGTTTACAAGTCATCCCACTTAAAGATTATATCCTTTGAAGGAAGTATAAAATTGATTGTTAATCTAATGTGTCCAAATATCAATGACCCTTAAAACTTAAACTTGATGCTTCATGCATGATTCTGGCAAAGAAACAGCAAAATGTTGCAACAGAGGTAGAAAAAAAATGGAGACTTTTGTTATATCTTATATTTGACTACAGCAAAAACTTTCCAGAGTTTTTCAAGACCATGCCTGTTAGTGTTAGATTCCTCAATGCTACCACTTTGTAGACATATCATTGACTTCAGGTTAGAACTGACTTGTAGCTGACTCTCCATCCATTGGGTTTCAGAGGCTGTAAATCATGGAAAGATTTTGGCCACCTTCTTCCACCACACCGGCTCAGGCTCTGGGCTAGAAGTACAGTTCTCTATGGGATAGGCTACCAGGGCTCCATTTGTGGCAAATCACATATATATAACAGTTATGTGTATATATAGCTGACACTTTAACAGATTTTCAGAGGCAGTAATTACATGGGAGAAGATTGTTCGTCCTTTTCTCCCCATATGTATATATGGTACACTATGTACTATGTGTCTTAATTGGGCTTCCAACACAGAGGCACACTGTTAGATTCCACCTGTTGTTCCACGGAAAAAGACGGACAGCCTTCTCCCATGCAGTTTTCAGCCTCAGAAAACTCCCTGGAGGGTAAGCTATGGGCCAGTTCCAACTTGGTAGTTGTTATGTGCCGTCAAGTCGCTTGCGACTCATAGCGACCCTATGTACAACAGCCCTAAACCCTGCTCTATCCTGTGCCAATCTCACTGCCTCTGACACATCCATCCCGATTACCCCAGTCACTGAATCAATCCACCTCATAGAGGGTCTTCCCCTCTTGCGCTGTCCCTCCACTCTTGACAGTACACAGCATTAATAAACAACAGCGTTCACTGGCACTAAGCCAATCAAAAGTTTTGGATTTATGAGCTCCTCCATAGAAAATATAGGCAATCTCCTCCCATAACTATTTACAGCCTCAAAATGTCAAGGGAAGGCTGCTATGAATTGGAATCAACTTGAAGGCATTGGATGGATGGATAGATAGATAGATAGATAGATAGGTAGATAGATAGATAGATAGATAGATGATAGATAGATAGATAGATAGATAGATAGATAGATAGATATTTAAAACACACTCATTCTGTTGCTCTGAGGTACCATTGAGTCCAGTCTGAATCACAGTGACCATATGTCCAACACAGTGAAGCCCTGCTGACCCCACACCATCCTCACCATCGCTGCTGCTTGAGCACATAGCTGTGCCTCCATGCCAGTCACTTCTTTGAGTGCATTTCTCCTTTGCAGTGACTCTACTTTACCAAGAATAATGTTTTTCCATGTTTTTATACTTCCTAATAATGTGTCTAAAGTATACGAGGCAAAGTCTCCCATAGTTCTTTCTAAGGAGAATTCTGGCTGCACTTCTTCTAGATAGATTTGTTTGTTCTTTGATCAGTCAGTTATATATTAAATATTCCTTATCAACATCACAGTACAAAAGAGACATTCTCCTATGATTGTCCTCATCATTATCCAACTTTAACATACTTAAGAGATGATTGAAATTGTGATGCCTTGGTCTAAAAGCACCTTAGTCCTCAAAGTAATACCCTTTCTCTTTAGTACTTTAAAAAGAATCTTTATAGCAAATTTTCCCAAAATAAAGTATTATTTGATTTCTTGACTATTGTGTTCATAGGAATTGACAAAACATCCAAATAAAATGATGTCTTTAACCGCCTCAATCTATTCTCCGTTTATCATGTTGTTTGCTGATCTAGTTATGAGGACTTTTGCTTTCTTTGAATTGAGATGTAATCCATCATGAAAGCTATAGTCTTGGAGCTTCATCAGTTAATGCTTCAAGTCTGTTTTTCAGCAAGCAAGGTTGTGTCATCTGCATATAACAAGTTGTTGGTGAGTCTTCCTCAAATCCTGGTCATGTGTTCAGGTTTGTCTTCATATTATGTAGCTTCTGGAATTGCTTATTCAGAGTACAGATTAAATAAAAATGGAATGACAGGATACAATTTTTATGTACACCTTTCCTGAATTTACACCATTCTCTTTTCGTTATTCTGTACAGATTTTGCATGAGCACAATTTGGTGTTCTGGAATTCCCATTCTTCTCAATATTATCCACCATTTGTTATGATCCACACAGTTTCATTCCTTTGTATAGTTAATGAAATACAAGTAAATATCTTTCTGGTAGTGTCTGCTTTCAGCAAGACTCATCTGGTCTCAGCAATGATATTCTTCATTTCGTGTCCTTTTCTGAATGTAGCTTGAATTTCTGGCAGTATTTTATCTATGTCTTGCACCAGCTGTTTTTCAGATCCTCTTTAGAAATACTTGTGATGTTCATGATAATGCCTTACAATTTATTTAGTGCAGCTGGGACTTCATTGTCATTGGTAGTTCATCATATGGTACTATGGCATTATATCACATTATACTCTATTCTGCTATTCAAAAGGGCATTGACAAAGTCTTTAGGAAACTGTATATGCCTTCCATCTTCTTTTGAAGAATTGCCTATAGAGTTATTCTCTAATGCTACTTGAAGCTTGAACTTTTTATTTTCACTTCTTTAGTCTTGAGTAATGCTGACTATGTTCTTTTTCTTTCTGTTTACTAACTCAAGGTCTTTGCACATTTTATTAAAATATTTACCTTTGAGCCACCTTTTGAAATCTTCTCCTGAGCTCTCTTACTTCATTATCTCCTCCATTTCCTTATTTTCTCTGTATTTTAGAGTAAATTTCAAAATGTGTTCTAATATCCATTTTGTTCTTTCTTTCCTGACTTTTAAATGAACTTTTTGCTTTCATGTATCCTACCCTTAATGTCATACCACAAGTTGTCTTCTGTCATTAGTGTGAAATGTATCAAATCTGTTGTTGAGGCAGTCTCTAAATTCAGATGAAATATACTTAGAGTCATACTTTTATTCTTGTAGATGTGTTTTAATTTCCTGAAAAAATATATATAATATATATTCTAAAATATGTATACTAATAAATATATATTATATATACACACATATATACATATATACACATGTATACATATATACACACATATGTATACATAAATATATATATGCATATATACACATATACATATATACACGTGTGTGTGTGTGTATATTTGGAGCTCTGGTGGTCTAGTAGTAATAAACTGCGTTCCAATCTCAAAGGCACACAGTTACTCTGCAGGAGGATGAGATGGACAGTCTTCTCCCGTGTGATTGATTAATTGCTTCTGAAAACCCACTGGAGGGTCAGCTATGGTCGATTCTGACTTGATGGTACTCAACAACAACTATGAATATATGTATGTATGTACATATGTGTATATACACTCATATATACATATATGCATATGCATGCATATACAAGTATACATATATGTATGTGTGTATATATATGTGTGTGTGTGTATATATACATGCATGTTGCTCTTGTTGATTGCCTGAGTTGATCATGACTCATAGTGACCCCATGAACAGAAGGCCTGAAGCCCTTCTACAACCATCGACATTTATCAAAGTTTGTAGAGTTTCCGGAGGCTTGTTGTGGATGCCATTCCTCATGTTGTTGTTTGCTGTTATGTGCCATCGAGTCACCAGCGACTCATAGCAACCCTATGTACACCATTTCTGAAGCCTGCCCTATTCTGAGCCAATTTCATTGTCTCTGGCACACCTACTCCCCATGCCCCTGTCACTGAGTCAAGGCATCTCATCCGGGCTCTTTCTCTCTTGTGCTCTCCCTCCATCCTTCCAAGCACAATATCTTTCTTCAAGGCCTAGTCCCTCCTTGGCAGCATGCCCAAGGCATGCCAGATGGAGCCTCAAAATCCTTTCCTCCAAGAGGAGCAGCGTCGTTTCATCCTCTGCAGGAAAGACCTATTTGTTCTCTTAGCAATCTATGTTATATTCAGTACTCTTCTCCAGTGCCACAATTAAGACATCAATTCTTTTTCAATCATTCTTAGTCATTGTCCAGCTCCCTGGTCCATAGCAAGTAATTGTGAAGACTATGGCCTGGATTAGGTGCTCATGTTAATTTAGAGGTGTTTTTCAGATATGTAAGCATAAATAGCAAGGACGTTAGGTGATATACAGTCTTTACATGCTGAGAAATCTAGGCTGAGAATGTACATTTGTTAATCATTTATGTCATCCCACAACTTGCCTGCTCTTTGCCAATTGTTTAATGCATCATATATATTAATAAATAAATCAAATAAAATTAAATTATTTACAGAAAGAGTCTAAAATCAGACTAAAATACATCTATAGACTAAGTATTTGAAGAACAACAATATTTAATGGCCCTAAATATGAGAAAATGCACACAAAATGGAGCACTAAGAAAGTTCCAGAAAAGCAAAATAGTGTTGTGTCAGATAAGCAGACAGAAGAGAATATTTCAAGAAAGTAGAAGTGGCCAATAATTTGAAATGCTTTCCTTCAAAGGAACGCGGCCTTCAGTATGGATTGCATCTCAATGTCAGGACAACAAAGATTTTTTACCACTGGGCCAATATGCAGCATCATGATGGATGGAGAGGAGATTGAAACAGTCACCAGTTTCATCTTGCTTGGGTCTACAGTTAACACCCTTGTAACAGCAGTCAAGGAATAAGGAGAGACATTGCACTGGGAAAATCTGCAGTTAGGGACCTTACCAAGTTACTAAGGAGTAGTGATGTCAGTTTGAAGACTAAGGTGTGTCTGATTCAGCCCATAGTCTTTCCGATTACTAGCTGTACATCCAAGAGCTGCATGAAGAATAAGAATGACAGAAAGAATAATTGATGCCTTTGAGCTTTGGTGTTGAAGAAGATAACTGCACATCCCATGGATGGCCAAGAGAACAAACAGATATGTCTTGGAGAAGGGTGAAGCCAGAGTGCTCTTTGGAGGCAAAAATGATGAGGTTTTGCCTCACATACCTTTGGCATGTTGCTAGAAGATGCTATTCCTTGGAGAAGGACATGATGCTGGGAAGGGTGGAGGGTTGGCAAAGGAGAGAAAGACCCTCAACGAAGTGGATTGATATGGTGACTACTGCAGTGGGCTCTTGTATGTCAAGAAGTGTAAAGATGGTGCAAGATAGAACAGGATCCAGATCTTTTGTTCAGAGGGTCACTATGAGTCATGCTTGACCTAGTGGCACCTAACAACAATAACACCAACAATTCTTCATAGATCAAATAAGATTAGGATAAAAGTGTTCATTAAATTTCCTAACAGCAGACAAGTGATTGAAGCAGGGTGATAGAAAGATCCACACGTGAGAAAACTGAGAGGTCACAGCGATGGCAGATTTGGGTAACTCTTTTGAAATTTTCTCTTTGAAGAACAAAAGAGAACTCTTTCTCATCTCTTGCTAGAATTGTATTAAGCATAGGTATTGTATGTCAGTGATTCTAGTGTACAAGAAACAAGGAAGTTTCATATTAACTACAATATTCTTATGATTGGTTTTGCAGCCAACTCAAAAGAATCTTAAGGAAAATAGTAGTTTATGACATGTCTCTTGAGTTGAAGTTAATTTTTGTATTTACCTTTTCAGGTACAGAGATTACAGGTACCCTCCAGAGCATGAGTCAAAGTATTCTCCTAATATGCAGTTTTGGCATGTGCTTGCTGCCAAGATGACCTTCATCATAGTCATGGAAGTAAGCCTTTCTTAATCTTTAGCCCACTTAGTTTGTCTTCACTCTTTAGGATGATATTTCTGAAAGTGTCTGCTCATAAGAAAATTAGCTTTGTCTCAGTAAATTATTTTAAGATGAACTTATCATGGGAAGAAAGATGGGAAATTTCTTCCCATGCCATTTATAGCCACTAAAAACCTGGAGGGTCAGCTATCAGTCGGTTCTGACTCCACAGCATGTAACAACAACAGCAACAACTTGTCATAATCAACCTGGGAATGTTTCAATACAATGAATATTGAATATGTATATGCACTTAATGGTGACTGAAAATATAAAGGTAATAGGAAAAAGAAGGAAAAATATGATCTCTTCCTTTGGGGTCAGGAAAGGGAAGTGAATCCATTGATATTTAGTGACTGTTTACTATGTACTACTTTCTAGAGACTGTCTTAAGGAAATAAGTATATATTGTTGTTGTCGTTGATTGCCATCAAGTCAAACATGGCTCATAGTGACCTTATGAACAAAAGACCTGAAGGCTTTCTATAACTATAGTCATTTACCAAAGTTCATAGAATTTCCAGAGGGCATGTTGTTTAGGAAGTGGATACCACTCCTGCTTCCAAAGTTGTGTGTGTGTGTATACACACACATACACTCACACACATAAATAAATGTATAAATGTTCATATGTCATAACAACCATGAAAGCTATACTTTGTTATTCTTTGACAAATAAACATGAAAATCAGGGAAATTAAGTAATTTGCTTCAAGTTAATCAGTTAATAATAGAATTTGGTTTCAATGCTAGATAGATCACATTCCCAGGCCTTTTCCTGTCCAGTTTTATGCTTCTTGCCTTCTGAAACAGCTAGCATAAATATTGAGGTAAGACATACAAGAAAATATAAATAATCCAAAGGGGAGGTTTTTATTCAGTTATAAATGGAATGCTACAAATAATAAAGATATATTTTAAAAGTAGAAATAATATCAGCAAGTCACCTTTTCATGCTACAGTAAAACTCTAGTCATGCTCATGCACATACAGATATGTTTGTAATTTTATAAATTGGTCTGTGTTTACAAAACATCTTCATGCATTTTGTATATTTAGCAAAATTATCAGCCTATATTTCATTTTATCAAAGTTATACATGTAAATAGTTTTTCATAAATAGTTTTATTTGAATGAAGGTTTACAAGTCATATTGGTTTTTGATACAATTTTTTCATAGACTATTTTTTTAAATTTTATTATTTTTTTATGTGTATGTCCTGTCAAATCAGATCTGACTGGTAAAAGAGGAAATTGTCCCTTCTTCTCCAGCAGAGAGCATCTGGTGGATTTGAACTGCCCACCTCTGGAATTGCAGTGCAGCTTCTTGCCACTAGGCCATCAGAGCTCCGTAGACTTTTTCTTTTATTACATTAATTGAGTGAAAGGAAAACAGTACACAACAAGAGACTAATTAGGCATTATAATTAATCCATTACATGGAACTGATTTTAAAACTTTGGTAGCTACACAGGACTAATCAAGTAAAATCAATGTATGTCTGTTCCTTCTCATGAAATCTTGATTTCCCAGGCAAAAACTGTAACGCTTTTCCTCACTCTAATTTTCCCCCCTATTTTTTAATGAAACATATATGTGTGTGTGTGTATGTGTGTGTGTGTGTGTGTGTGTGTGTGTGTGTTTCTTTCCATTTAACTTTTTCCCATTCATTGTTGCATATTGTCCTCTCTGCCCATCTCTCCCCCTGAGTTGGATTTTCTCTTTGAAAAAAAATTTTTTTCATTATTATCCCCCACTATAACTTTTTAAACACATTGGCTTAGTAATTTTCTCAACATTATAAAGCAATGTTGCTTTTTCCTTTAGTTTTTCATTTTCAGTATTAGCCATGCACTTTGTACTGTGGGTGATCACACATACTCACACACACCACATCTCCCACCTGGCAGTATAATTATGCATAATTCTAATAATGTCTTCAATTTTCTTTTAGCATGTTGTGTTCTTATTCAAATTTTTGTTGGCGTGGATGATCCCTGATGTTCCAAAAGATGTTGCTGAGAGAATCAAGCGAGAAAAGTTAATGACTGTCAAGATTCTCCATGATTTTGAACTCAACAAATTAAAAGAGAACTTGAGAATGAATTCTGATCTTTTCGCCAAGCAAGTCCTGATTCAGGAAAACAAAGCAGAGCTGGCTAATTTACCAGTATAATCGGCATAACAAGAAAGCAGCTGGTTGCCTGCCTCAATTCATTTTTTTTTCCCCTGGGTTTAGGGCCAGGGGCCAGAAGCCATGGTCAATTCTAACTCTTCTTTATTTTTTTTTCTTTTTCCTTTTAACACAAAGGTTTTGTCCACTTTTATAAATGCCAACTTGTTAGTTTTGGAAGAGTAACACTTGTTTGCTTCTTTGGCTGGGCCCTCCAGATACTGTTTACTAGAAATGATTGTTAAATGTGCATATGGAAGCAGAACATTGGGAAATCATGGGATGTTGCAGTTCCAGTTCATCTCCATATTTTCATGGTTTTCTACTGTGTTGTATGATATCAAAGAGAATGTTAGGGTAACACAAAATGTGTTAGAGAGGCCTAACAGGCCATACACATCCTGCCATTTTGAAATGTGCACATGAAAAACCAAAATCATACTGACCTAAAAAAGCTTATATACTAAAGAAAATGGGATAAAATATCATGCCAGGGGTTTATTCTTGAAAACATCCTGAATAAGTTAAATTTTCCATCAGATATTCCTTCCAGGAAAACACAGAATTGATTTCTCAAATGACTCAACTTTTGGGTTTCAACAAAGAACTTACTACTCAATTCTTTAAAGATATTATTTTGGTAGCAGTAGTTTTAAAACTGTGGACTCTCTTATATGGAAAATAACATTAATTAGCTATTGGATTACTTCAGGTCTTCAAGCAAACAAGAGATATAGGGAGGTAAATGTGTTTTCTTAGTATTTCAAGAATGTAAGACAATAATATTGATTAATTATTTTAATCTAGAAAATTGTTGAATTTTTTAAAATCATTTTTTCTTTTAGAATACCTTTTTTGCATCATGAATCCTTTTAAGCATTAGCCATTTGTATGTTAGGTGCAAGTTCTTTATGAGATCTGATCTCTTTGCTCTAATGCAACCTAAAATATTTTAATAAGTTGACAACACTTTTTATTGCAACAATTCATACAGTTGCTCAGTGCCTTGTCCCTATGCCTTTGACACACAGAAAAATGGATACTGATATAAAATCTCAAATATAAACTAGTAAAGAAACTGTCAGCTTAATACCAATGATAGTTTAACATCAAGAGAAAATCAACTAAGAATGATATAATGGAGCTGATAACTAATACCATTTTGTTGAATTATTTCTCTCAAACTTAGACCTGTGACATATATACACCAATTCTTGTTCTTCAGTTTTAGAAACTACAAAAACACTGTATACACACAATGTGTATGTGTATAAATGTATATGTGTGTATGTACATAAACACACATATAAAATACAATGGGGTGTGTGTGTGTGTGTATATATATATTATACTATGAAGAAACTTATACCATCCAGTTACAGCATTTGAATCTTAGATTCAAATTGCCCTTCAGTTACAAAAGAATAGTGGTTTTTTAATCACATACATGAGCAGAAACTCAACAATTTGTTTTTAAAAAGCCATTATTTGATTCTCTGATATTAATAGATTTTTATGGATTATCAGTATTAGGTAAATGGCATATGGTATTAACAAATTATCAGTAGTAAGCATTTACAACTGGGGATTATGAATCTTATGAAACCATGAGAAAGTTACCCCAATATTGGCAGTACTGATATGTCACCCACTGGGTAAATTTTATGAACATTTTTGCATATGTGAAATTATCTCATTATTGAAGGGTGATTTCTCATGAGAAGGGAGAAAACCTGTCTAGGTTACTGTACAGTAAGCCAGAGATGCTGTCTTGTTGACTTGTCAAGCCGATTTGTATGTTCCTATGATGTTGTATATTGCACACAGCTTGTACTGCTTCCTTCTTGGGTGCTAATAAAAATAAAGAGCATGAACGTTTATTTATTTGATAGGGACTTTCATTGTGTTTTTTCTTAAAAAATTTGTACAAACAGACTATAAGGTAGAGGCAAATTTAACTCATATCCATCTATTGCAATTTTAAAACAAACAAACAAACGTGAATATTGTATTCCAGAATACGTAAAGAAACCACAAAGGAGAAATCAATTTTAGATAGGCAAATGATTTTCTAATTGCTTATTTTCGTTTTAAAAGCATTTGGCTTTCAGTCAGCTTGTAGAAGTTTCTCCATGTTTCACAGATATCTGTCCCTCACTTTGCAAAAGATGTTCTAACATCTAACATCAAAAGTGAAGAAAATCCAGATAGTTTTCTCATCCCATTAAATCCACTGTATATTATTGGAAAGCTAAATTATGAGCAGCTACCCACTAAGCATTCTGTTGTGCAGAACACTTGATCGTGCTAATGCGAAACCTGTACTTGGACCAGGAGGCAGTTGTCAGAACAGAGCAAGGGAACACTGCATGATTCAAAATTGGGAGGGCGTACGCCAGGGATGCATCCTATCTCCATACCTTTTCAACCTATATGCAGAACCAGATTATCCAGAGGCTGGGCTCTATGAGGAGAAATATGGGGGCAAGATTGGTGGACGATTTATCAACAATCTGCGTTATGCAGATGACACAACCCTGCTTGCTGAAACTGAAGAGCTCCGGCTGCAGAGTGTCAAGGACTGCAGCCTACAATATGGACTGAGGCTCAATGTCAAGAAGACAAAGATTCTCACCACTGGACCAATTGGCAGCATCAGGATGGATGGTGAAGAGATTGAGATTGTACACAGCTTTAGTTTGCTGGGCTCCACAGTCAACAGTCTTGGCACCAGCAGCCAGGAAATTAAAAGGCGCATTGCCATGGGAAACTCTGCTGTTAAGGACCTCTCCAAAGTACTGAAGATCAATGGTGTCTCTCTAGAGACTAAGGTGTGTCTGATACAGGCCATGGTCTTCGCAATCACTTGTTATGCATCAGAGAATTGGACAATGACCAAGGAGGATAGAAGGAGAATTGATGCCTTTGAGCTGTGGTCCTGGAGTATTAAGAATATCATGGACTGCTAGGAAAACAAACAGATTCGTCCTGGAATGGGTCAAACCAGGTGGCTCCTTGGAGGCAAGGATTCTGAGGCTCTGTCTAACATACTTTGGACATGTTGTGAGGAGAGACCAGTCCTTAGAGAAGGACATCATGCTTGGGAGGGTGGAGGGACGGCGCAGGAGGGGAAGGCCCTCTATGAGGTGGATTGATTCGGTGACTGGGATAATTGGGATGGGAGTGTCAGAGACAGTGTGATTGGCACAGGACAGAGCAGAGTTTAGGGCTGTTGTACATAGGGTCGCTATGAGTTGCAAGCGACTCGACGGCACTTAACAACAACAACCTACTAAGCTGGAGCTCTGGTGGCCTAGTGCTAAGAAGCCACTCTGCACTCCTGAATGCATATGGTTTCAAATCACCAGCAGCTCTGCAGGAGAAGGATGGGTAATCTCCTCCCGTATAATTAACTGCCTCTGAAAACCCAATGGAGGGTCAGATATGGGTCGGTTTGGACTTAATTGTACACAAAAGCAACAGCCACTAATCTAAGTTGATATTTATCACCATGGCACATTTTTTCCCCTCCAAACATACTCTTTGTTTCAGGAATATTTCAAGTAGCATCTGAAATTTTATTTGAAATAATGTCCCAAAACCAAGAGAATACTTAATTCTTTTCAAATGCCCTCTCTTTTGTTTCCTAAACTAATGCTTCTCTGCACAAGAGAAGGAAGAACTCCATCTAAAAGTTTTGTTGTAGAGATATTTATCAAGAAGAGGGAATCTCAAATAGAATGTGTTCATTGACTATACAAAGGCATTTGTGTGAATCACAACAAACTGTGCCTAACATTGAGAAGAATAGGAATCCTCGGACACTTGATTGTGTTTTTGTAAAGCCTATACTTGGACCAGGAGGTAGTTGTTATAACAGAGCAAGGAAACACTGCTTCATGAACTCTTTTCCCTGAGAATGTTGCTCTCTCGGTCTTGTATGGTAGTGCATTCCTCCTTGATATTGATCACCTTGTAAAGCTGGCTATTACTTGGCTGAAGGTTGGGTCATGGGGGTGAATTCTTAGAGTTGCTAAAGACCAAAGTCTTCAAGACCTCAGTGACCACTCACCAAAGTAGGGTGCCAAGCATTGTCTTTGTGGATTATGTTATGCGAATTGACATTACTGTCATCCAAGACAAAGGTCCTGGGCTCTCAGGTCCAGTGACTCATTCGTGGATAAGAAGTTTTCATAATTGTGCCTTCTAGTTTTGCTACTATATAACCAAGCCATCTATTTATAACACATACAATTGATATATATGTAGAAATATATGTAAAAACCATATGGTCCTGAGTCACTATGCACCTGTTCATCTTACTTATATGCATTTATATCATCTTAACCTATGTCTCCACTCATAAATTAGCATATGATTGATGAGACATGATTCTTTATCTTCTTTTGTTGCTTGTAACTCTCTTGTCCTCTGTGTCTCCTTTTTCATTTATTATATTATTCTTTTCTGGTATATTGGCAGTGTTTCCATCAGTATAATCAATTTAAGATAATACTGATTTCAAAAAGAAACTGTACCATTAGTCGTCACTCTCCATTGCCTTTCCCCTTGGTCTTATGTTCTTTCTGTTTCTATAAAAATCTTTATCTTCATAATATATACCCTGCACTTTTCATCTTTTAAAACCATTAGATGAAACAAATTTATGTATCTATATATAATATTCAACCTATAGATGTCAAATTTTACTCTTCTGATCTTTGCCTGAGGTAGGTAACAACTTCGATAAGGTAACAATGATGTATGATGCAATGATTTCTACATCAGAGGAAAAGTAATTTGATGAATATTTATTCTTTTTGGAACATCCTTCCCCCCCCCCCACTTTCATCCTTCATTACTTTTGCTTTTATTTCACTTTCCTTTGTCTTTATTGACTTCCTATGTCACTGGCTTCCTACCTCCTTCCTTTCATACTTTTGCCTTTGACTTCCTACCTTGTCATCTGATTAGAGCAATCCAATGAAATTTTCCCCAACTGA